AGTGGCACTTGCAGCATTTACACCTCCTGGGGCCCACTGTAGAGAAGCCTCTCCAGCAAGAAGCAGACTTACACTTTTAGCAAATCCTTGTCAAATTCTTCTTTGAAGCTGTTTTTGTCACTGGCTATTTAAGCAGCTGTGAATTAGAGGTCTAATTTATGTAAGAAAATCATTATCCTGATCTCCATGAAGTCAGTATTACGAGGCCAGCAATTCCTGGGTAAAGCAGACATTGCTTGGCAAGAGCTACATAGCCACACCAACCAACCAAAACACACATATAAGCTACTTTCCCAACTGTCTGCAAACTCAACAGCACACTCTTAGTGGCCTCAAAGGGATATCGTGATCCTAAATATTTGGAGAAGGAAAAAGGAATCGAAAAACAGCAAATTATATTCAGTAACCAAGTTCTATTTCCTGCCACTTTCCACGCAACACACTTCTTCAATAGGAGGCACGTGGGATCAACTTCGCCCGCAGAAACAGGAAGCTGTCTAACAACAGCAAAGAGGCAAATTTAATAGCTAATGTATTTCCACAGAAGTTCTGCTTCAAGTAATGTTTTTATACTTCGCCTTCCCCCATTTTTTGAAGGAAGAGGACTATTTAGAAGCAAATTCCTAAATATTTACCTTCCGTTGTCAATATTTTCAAGTATCAGCTCTCCTCAAGATATATCAACTTTAGATAACTTTCACGAACCCTGCACTTAACGGGAAAACATGGAAGGCAATCAGTTCTCCTTCACAGATGTACCTCTAATGCATCTAGGGATCCCAGATGCTGCTTAGATTAGCCCTCACCACCATAAAGGCTTTCCCTGAACACTGTATAGTCACTGCAGACTGAGTAAACAACAGACTCAGCGCTCAGCCAGGAGCAAGAGGAATGACAGTCCAAAGTTAATTAGTTAATTATTTTCAAAAACAAAATGGAACAAACCCAGCAACAATCAAAGGCAATGAGGCAGGGCAAACTTTTAAAAAAAAAATGAGCACCTGAACACAGTAGGTATCTTTCATGAACTGGAATAGGACGGTACCACATTCTCATTTAGCTATCTCCCAGTGCAGAAAGGTAACCCCGAAGACTGACATAGTTCTGTTAACACAATCCCATAAAATAATACCAAGCTAACAGGCAAAGACACAACAGAAGCATGGAATTTTTCTCCTTTGCCTGTCAGATTTTGCAGATACCTTGCTGCAGTGAATGCTGTCCTGAATGCAAATTACCTCAGCTCCCTGAGACACATGCTGCAGTGTCCCAGACTGCCAACATGCAGTGTAGTGCCAGCAGCTGTGTGTTTAGATAAAAGGGAATGGGAAAAGTAGTCCGGAAAGGGTGTAAATTTGCACTTAATTCAGTAAAGCCAAGGAACCAGTACAAGATTTGCATTTCATAGGAAATGAATCTAGTCAATATGTAGCAAGGACAGAGGCAAACAAGCTGATATCAAAAAAGCAGCTACTTATTGCTATGAACACAAGTTACTGTGCCCGCATGTTCTGAACTGCCTTCCTTACAAGGTTAAATGAAGGTAACTCCATGGATATACAGCCCTCCAGCACAGTTCAATCCAATGCAGCAATAAAGTGCTGCCAGGTTCTCACTTTGAAGAGTGACTGGCTTGTGAAAAGTGCTGAGCAAGCAAGTGGCAGCCTATGCCTAACTCTTGGCAGACAGCTGGTTTGCAGTTAAAGTACACACTTGCTTTTGAAGTATAGATTTGCTCCAGTTAGTATCAAGTCTGAATTCTAACACAGCAGGAAAAAAAATTCCCATTAGTTATTCCCATCAAAAATGGATTATTAATCATGCTATTCCATTGAAAGCTCTTCTATAAACTCTCTCTAGATATCAGTCTTGACATTTTACAACCACCTCAAAGCATCTCTGAAGATTCAAGCTCTTTTTAGTTCAGGCCTTTAAACTGATGTCAATTTCTAAAAGGACACCATTTTCACTCAGTCCTGTGATAGTGAAGCACACCAATCTTTTTCAAGAATCAACACTGGTAGAATTCAATTGCAATTTTGTCCATGACAATGAACCTAAATGACTCGGGCCCTAGGATGCTGAAGAGGAGAAAGATATAAACAGGAGAGATTGGACATTTAGACTGCAATACACAACACAAGCCTGATGCCATAACATACAACTAAAGTAGGCCACTTCAATAGTAAAAGTGTTTTCAGACAAGACCAAGAACAGAAGTATTTCCAGACCTTACCTCCCAGAAAAGAAAAACCCGTAATATTCCCCTCTTTGTCACACCAATGTTAAGGGCTGTTGAGGAAATTCTTGCACATAAAGGAGTTGCATTAGGGGTTATTAAATCTTCTTACTAATTAACACAGAATTTATTGTTCTGAGAGTCTGGTAAGTCTGCAATATACAAAATCCAGAGTTTTTTCTAATGTATTTATAAGCAAAAGTAACTCAAGTCATACAACTAGTTTCTTCAGTTGCTTATCAGACATCAGGATTTGAAACAACTGTAGGAGTCCAGCCCTCAGGCATAAGAAAAGTAACACTTGTATTTCACAACACTTGGCAGAGCAAAGGAGATACATGGGCTACAAGAACTCCTTCCCCCTAGGAAGGATTTCAAGCAGGTCAGTCATACTCCTGCATTAGAAGGCCCCTCAAAATCCACTTTGTGTTTTATAAGGTGGAAAAGAAAATTAAGCATTTGATTAATATTATTTTTTTTTAATTGTAATTATTGGAAGGAACCTATAAGGATCACTGCATTCAACTCCTGGAGTTGACACAGCACTAACCATCATTCTCAGTGATCACTGCATTTTTGACAGAAGAAAGAACACACTCAGGTTTATGTTGCACCAGGGAATTAAAGTTTGTACTTGCAGAATCGAGGCAAGAGTCATAAATCACTTCTATCAGCAGCAGAAGCAGGTCGTATTTGGACAACAAAGAGAAACTAAGAAACTGCCCAAGGGTTACAGTGTGCTGAAGCACATGCTGCAGTGGTCACCACTAACAATGCAGATAAGAGATGCTAACGACCCACTAAGAGAAAAGAAATTGCTTGTAGACACAAGGTTTCTTCACAGCATTTTCTAGCAGAAGTGGATTATGGATTATGAAATAAAAATAGGAGGATTTATTTATTTTACCTGAGAAAAGCTAAAAAATATCAATGAGACTCCCCTTGTATTTCCCATGTTTTCAGATGTTGTCTCTTCATCTTCATTTTGTGATTTTTTTCACACTACAATTACATTTATCAATCCCAGTTCAGGAAAGTACTATGATTTTGTTACCAAAATGTAGGAATACCTGATAAGCAGCATGTTGTTCTTGTCATAACCCTCACAACCTTGCTGCCACCCAAAAGCCACAAGAGCTTTCTATGAACCTGAACAAGCTATGCATGCACTGCATGTACACTAAATACATACCAATCATCTGCTAGTTTAGTGTGTGCACAGACAAAAAGAGCAACAACAAAGGATTGTAGATGAGTGTGAAATTGCTATCCAGGACTCTGGGGTAATGATAAACACCTGGGGCTATTCAGCCTGCTAAAGGTTCCAGGAAGACTCTTTCAGTATCCAAAGGTAGGCTATAAGAAAGAAAGGAACAGACTCTTCAGCAAGGTCAGGACAAGGGGAAAGAGGCTCAAACTGAAAGGTTTCTTATGGTAAGGGCAGTGAGACACAGGAACAGGTTGCCCTGAGAGGTGGTGGATGCCCCATCCCTGGAGACACTCAAGGTCAGGCTGGATGGGGCTCTGAGCAACCTGATCTACCTGTGGGTGTCCCTGCTCACTGCAGGGGGGTTTGTCTAGGGTCCCTCCTAACTCAACCAATTCTACGACAGTGATTCAAAAGCCTGGTGAAATTGAAGTAAGAACTAACACAAAACACAGGGTTCCATTTCCCTTCCATGTTACAGGAGGCTGAAATACATTAAGCCTTCACACTACAAATACAGCTGTTAACGCCTATTTCCAGATGTAAACACGTAACTGTAGCCTTCAAAACAAAATCCCACCACAAACAGAATTTTATGCACATTGCCAACTTCATTACCCATTAATGGTGAAAAAGTTCCAAGATAGCCTCTTCTTATTTGTGCATATCCATACCAACACGGAGATTCCAGTACTTGAAGGTGCCTTCCAGTACTTGAAGGGAGCATATAAACAGGAGGGAAAACGGCTGTTTACATGGGTGGATAGTGATAGGACAAGGGGCAAGGGTTTTAAACTGAGACAAGGGAGGTTTAGGTTAGATATTAGGAGGCACCACACAGAGGGTGGTAACACACTGGGACAGGTTGCCCAGGGAGGCTGTGGATGCCCCATCCCTGGAGGCATTCAAGGCCAGGCTGGATGTGGCTCTGGGCAGCCTGGTCTGGTGGTTGGCGACCCGGCATATAACAGGGGGGTTGAAACTGGATGATTGTTGTGGCCCTTTTCAACCCAGGCCATTCAGTGATTCTATGATTCATGAAGAGACAGCATCGCTTTTCTCTGTTTTACCTGGTGCCTTCACAACGCGTGTCTGTTGGCGATTTCAGACTCTGGTTTGACCACTTCGGCCTCTTACACCCACAAAACAGCCCATATCACTTTGGCTGAGTTCCCACAGCTGCCACATCACACAATCACAAGGTTCATACACACGGCTGCGTGGATCAATTCCGTCCTAAGCCAGAACCTCACGAAACTCCCGAAAGCGCGGGTGTGAACCACAGCCTCTTTTGACATGAAGGCCAAGGGGACGCACAACCAACCTCAGCCGACCGTCTCACGGTCCGAACGGATTGCGGAGCACGACACGCCTCACAGCCGCCGCGGGGCGAAGGTGGCGGCCCTGGGGTAGGGCGGGCACGGTTCTGCGTCTCACGTCTCCCGCAGCCCGAGGGCTGGCAGGATTTAACGAACGTCATTCTTTCATCCCGGGCCGCGACGTTCCCGCGCCGCCCCCACCCCTCTCCTGCGGAACGACCGAAGCCGTCGTTACCTGCGGGCGAGCTCCGGGCGGGCTCACCCCGCGGGGCGCCGGCGAGGAGGGTGGGCGCCGCTCTGTACGGAACGGGGCCGAGACTCGGGGTGGATTTCCTGCGGATGGCCGCCCGCCTGAAGTTGATGCCCTCGGCTCTGCTCATCCTTGGGGCGGGGGAGAAGGCAGAAAGAAAAGGCAAAGTGAGGAGAAGCTCAGCGCCCCTCCCGCCCGGTGCCCGGCGTGACCCGCATCGCGCTGGGGGAGCGTCCCCTGTCCGCACTGCGGCTCCGGCCGCCTCCAGCACCGGCTCTCACCTGCCCGCTGCTCCCCGCCCCTTTCCTTTCCTTGCCCTGCCCTGCCCTACCTGCCCGGCGCCCGCCGCACCCCCGTTGACATGGTGAGCCAGCGGCCGCCGCCCAGCCCGGGCTGTGAGGAAACTTCCCCTGGCCCGCTGCCTCCACACGGTTCTCCCACGAGGAAGTTGGGGCGGCGGGCGGCTGCACCTGCGCTGCTTCCTCCCGGCCTTCCCCGGTCCGGCGCCGCTTCCTCAGAGCGGCGGGTTCACAGGAGAGCCGGGTTCCCTCGGACACGGCTGGTGTGGGAGCGCAGCGCTTGCTTAAGCGAGTTGAGGGCTCCCCTCCCCATGTCAGCGCTGTTCGTTTCTCCTCACCGCGTGCTGCCTTCTGCCGTCCTTCAACTCTGAACTGCTTTGTCTGTAAGGAGGCTTAGGATTGCCTGTAGGACTGACCAGTGAACGTGGAAGAAATTGGCCAGAACACATTACCCTTCTTCTGATGAGAATGTTCTCAAAGACATTTATCACTTAAAAGCAAGTTTTGATGCCAGGGACAGATCTGCAATCCTCGCATCAATAGTTAATTCCAACTAATGGGGCTCATTCACGCCAGGGCTGTTCCCTCCCACTGTAAATATTAATTAATGCTGAAACAAGCATTGGGAATCATAGAATCATTAAGGTTGGAAATGACCACTAAGATAATCTAGTCCAACCCTAAGTGACCACGTCCCACTGACCACATCCCTCAGTGCCACATCCATGCAGTTCTGGAACACCTCCAGGGACGGTGACTCCATCACCTCCCTGGGCAGCCTGTGCGACTGCAGCACCTCTCTTCCTGGGAAGAACTTTCCTAATATCCAATCTGAAAGCAGCTATGTTTTTGTGAGACCTGGGTTTAGGTTCACTTATCTAGCAATGATGCTGGAAGGCTTCGTTTGTTTAACTGGGACATGGTTCTTGGAGAAAAAAGTATCTGAACTTTTGCTATCTGTGACTGGAGAACCACAGGCTGCTGTGTGCAGGATGAGGGTCTGTCAGCAGCTTGTTCAGTGTTTTGGTCTCAGTGAAATCATTCTCTTCCACAAGCAGGTCAATAGCTGTTAGTCCCCTCCTTCATTCCCAAGAGAAATGAAGTAGTCAGATCACCTTCCAGGTTTTGTGCTCTTGTAAACATCACATTTTCCTTTTGCAAACATTTAAAGAAAAGCTATGACTCAGAGGTAAAAGACTGATTTATTTCCTGACTTCGGTTACCTGACACAGGCTGGGCATAAGGAGATGAATATACCTATGTTATGAAGAGTATTTCTTCAGGAAGTACACAGACTGACTTCCTTGCAACAGGAGAGTGACAGATTTTTCTAAGCTGTACAGTTACTGAGTATGTGCCCTGGATCAATCATTAACTTGTTCAGATAAGAATCTTGTTCCAGAAAGCTGGCGCACTCTTAAGTTTTCATCAGAACACTGAGCATTGAGTGGTCTTCACAACTACTCATTAAAGCATGGCAAGGGAAGAGAGGCAGAGAATTTCTCATTAGTATTTCCCAAAGCACTTCACCAAGGATGCAAGGATCAGCCTTATTTGACAGGGAAGGAAATGAGGTACTAAAGGGAGAAGTTATTTGTTCAAAGTTGTCCAAGATGGCAGTACAGCAACAGAATATAAAACGGTACTCTATGGGAATGAAAGCAAGATTGAAAATGGAAGACCTTTCTCTGTTTCTCCTACTTACAACAGCTAAACTGATCTCTACCCAAGTATTGCCAATTGCTCAACAGCCAACCGTTAGCGAGGCATAATTATCACTTATTATTAAATCTTGTACTTGCATCTTTAAATACGGAGTTCTGCTTGTGGAAGAAAAGCCAAGGAGGCAAGGACAAACACACCCACTCCAGAAATCCTACCCAAATAGCATGAACTATGTTAATTTTGTTTTCTATGATGTTATCGGGGAGTGGTAACTTCTTTCAATGTCACTGGAAAACAAAGGTCACTACGGAGAATCCTGGTAACTGCGCTGCAGCATCAGGAGATCAGCCACAAGCTCACGTCCTCAAGAAAATTGTTCTTTAGCAGGACACTGAGCAGTGAGGTGACAGTCAATGATAGAAGAAAGTCATCTTAACAGTGAATTCATGGTAATTTTAGAGCATTTGTAGTTCAGTGCAGGCTTCTCACAGCAGCCGGTTGTCTCTCTTCCCTTAGTTAGCTGCAGCACAGACCTGGGCCAGCTGGTCGAAGCTGGCTCTGAGCTGCTGTATGCCAGCAGCACGTCCGTTCTGCCTGCTTTCACTTGGCAACAACTGGCCTGCCCTCCTGGCATGCCCTTCCTTCTTCCTCTCAGTTTCATGTGTTCTTCATCTCTGGGGAGAGATGGAGGGGCTGTGTCAGCAACAGGAATAACACCTTTCTAAGCAAAAGTTTTTCAAATGCTATCTTGACAAACTTCACTCTGAAAGATGAAAAATTTAGTGACTATAGGAAACAGGATCTGAGGACAGAAAACATTAGGTTAGCTTAACCACAGAGAGTGCTGCCAATTCTGCTTAAAATATATGACACAACCCAGCTAAATGGTCTGCCTGCATTGTACCACCCGTCCTAGACAACATGTGGGAAGCATCACAGATTCTTTTGCTGTATGGTAACAGAGTTAACCAGTAAGCCACTGCTAAGCCACTTTTGAGTGTGGGCTATAGCTAGGCCATCTGGCTCAAAATCTTTCTGTGAGGGTGGTGAGAAATGCAGTGGTGGAAAACAGACTTAATTACTTCTATTTGCATGTAGGAGGTACAATAGGAACCCTGTGGAAGTCCACAGAGGTGCAGAAGGTAGCAAGTTTTAGCCCTCCCCGCGGGTGGGGCCGCCCAGCCCCCCCGCAAAAAAAAAAACAATGACAGAGCACTTCTGGCAAATGTAAGGCTTGAAATCACTTATCTCATGCTGCTGGATCACCAAAGCATTCTTTAAAACAGGCAATTTTTCCTTAGTTTATTAAATACTTCATTTGTATGCAAGATGTTGCCCCCTCTTTGTGCCAACCTTTACTTCTCCTAATGGAAACAACCTTCAGAATACTGGATTTGGCTGCTTATGAGAGACTGTTTCTTTTGTTGTGTACAGTCCATTTTCCTTATTTCTGCTAGAGTTTACCTTTATTTTCATCTGAATTACAGTAAAAATCTGTTTGTCCAGCTTACCTGTTTATTTCTTCTCCTGCTTTAGTTTCTCTTAGCACTTCCTCATGCTGTAACTCTTAGTAAGTCTGTGTAGCAGCATTTTTAGAGCATTCATCTATACCCTGAGAAAGAATGCATGAACTTGGCACCTCACTGAAATGACAGTATGTTTCAAAGCATTACACATACCTCAGAGCACCTTATTTAATGCTGATGTGAACAGTACCTTCATTGAGGTCTGACAGAAAAAAATGCCACTGTCTGTTGGATGTGAACTAAAAATTAATCTGCCCCACTACTCTGCTCTCATGAGACCTCTCATGGAGTAATGTGTCCAGTTCTGGAGCCCCCAACACAAGAAGGACATGGAGTTGTTAGAGCAAGTCCAAAGAAGAGCCATTAAGATGATCAAAGGGCTGGGGCACCTCCCCTGTGAGGACAGGATGAGAGAGTTGCAGCTTTTCAGTAAGATGAGAAGGCTCTGTGGACACCTTATAGCAGCCTTCCAGTACCTGAAGGGAGCCTACAGGAAAGCTGGGGAGGCAGTTTTTATAAGGGCAGGTAGTGACAGAACAAGGGGAAATGGTTTTAAACTGGAAGAGGGTAGATTTAGTCTAGATATTAGTAAGAAATTCTTTAGTGAGAGAGGTTGCCCCACGAGGTTGTGGATGCCCCCTCCCTGGAAGCATTCAAGGCCAGACTGGATGGGGCTTTGGGCAATCTAGTCTAGAGGAAGGTATCCTTACCTCTAGCACAGGAGTTGGAACTAGATGTTCTTAAAGGTTCCTTCCAACCCAAACCATTAGTGATTCCATGATTAAAATGCAGTCTATTACACAGAAAAGCCATACTTACATACTTCCCTGCCTAATCCAAGGAACAGCTCGTAGTGTATTTTGCATCCTCTGTGAACTGAAGATTCAAACCTGTTCTGCCAGCAGTAAAACGAAGGCAAGAACTGATATGCCAGAAGATAGAGTAGGATACTAATTAAAGAAGAATCTCATGCATCTCAGGACCTCATGCACATTCCAGATGAAAATTCTTTTCTGATGGTAGCCGCAACAGCATAACGCACAAAGTAGCTGCAGCCTGTGCAACAGAGATACCCAGAACAAGCAAGTAAGCATGAGGGAGTTACTTAGCCTCAGTTAAATCAGCAGGCAAACACAGAATCCAGCCTTCAAGGACAAAGTGAATTTCAGCCTGAGGCTGTTGACTCTGTCTTAGTCTGGGGAATGGTTTACAAAGATTAGAGGGACTCCAACCTTGTGTTTGTTCCCTGTGCAGCACCCAGCATGTGGCAGAACAAGAGGACACTGGATTTACAGCATTATGCTGGTTTATGTCAAAAAATACATCCAGCTGTTTAATATTTACTCCCAGCACAAACTGCAGCACGCACCATCTCTTGGGATTGGTTTTACTTCCATGTGAGAAGCAGCTGCAGAGTCAATAGCGTGAATTAAAAGCCACACATGAGAAGTAAGCCATGACAAGAACTCCAGGAAGTTTTAGCCAAATCCTAGATATTTACTGTGTGAGCAGGGAAAAAAAAAAGAAAAAGGATGAGCAGGTAGCCATCAGAAGAAAAGCCAAAACAATTTATTTTAGCCCAGTCACTAACATTCTTAATATATCTCTCCTGTTTTGTCCTATTTGATTGTGTGAAACAGAACACTGTCCTGTTGTCATCAGGTGCCCTAGCAAAGGTAGTCACTGGGGAACAACTAGCAGCAGGATTTGTCAGCTTCCAGCCACCTTAATTAAGAAATCTA